TACACCTATATTTTTCCTTAACTTTCTTGGGACAAGGTTATCGAATCCTTCTAACAAGAATTCAAAATGACCTTGGCTTCCAGGAAAGTAAGAGATTGCCATGAACATAGTGTGGTTAGAAAAAATAACAAAGAAAAAAAAAAAAATCAATGAAAGCATCCAACAGGGTTGAGAAGAGGGAAGAATTTAGCTCCTCTGCACCACACACCCCTGGGTAATCTCTATCAGTGAGATTACCCAGTGACCAGGGTGATTTTACTTCCTCCTTCAAGAACTCTTGCCTCGTCTTACACAAAACATGCATGCACACCCGCGCACACATACAAACTCCTTCTCCCAAGCCAGAATGTCACCCCCTAAGCGTGGGGCAGCCCCCGCTCGGAAGGTTTGCAACCAGTCCCTAAGTTGCCATGCTGGCCTGTGGGGAAGTTCGCAAGGGATTTGTACGAGGAGGGGTGGACAAGCTTGGTCACCAGGTAAACAGCCTCCTAGGTGACCCTCTGTCTGGTATGATGTTCTAGCACCCAACTGTAGCAGGTGCTATAGGAGCATCATAAATTACACACAGATTGACTTCAGTGATGAAGGCAGAATGTTTTTAGCAAACTGCAAAAGTGACTTGGAAAGTTGGGTGTCAAGCTGTGTGAGTAATGACAATGAGCAATCCAATATTTTATTTACTGATAACGATGATGATGGCACATTTTTAACAAGTTGCAAAGTCACCCTCAGGCCTAGATTAGAAGTTGGCAAAGCATGGTCTGAGGGCCAAGCCCGGCCTTCCAACCTGTTATTATAAATAAAACTTTATTGGAGCACAGCTATACTCATTCATTTCCATAATGTCTAGGAGTGCTTTTGCACTCTGTGCAACAGACACTGTGTGTCATGTAATGCTGAACATATTTACTATCTGGCCTTTTGCAGAAAATGATACAATAATACTGTAACATATATTTGGAAGTTGCTAAGAGAGTAGAATTTAAAAGTTCTCATCCCAAGAAAAATAAATTGTAACTATGTGTGGTGATGGATGTTAACTAGACATTAGGTGATCATTTCACAATGTATACAAATATCGAATCATTGTTGTATACATGAAACTAATATCAAGTTATATGTCAATTAAACCTCGATAAAGAAATAAATTAAGTTGAAAAAAAAGAAAAAGAAAAAGACTGCCAACTGTTGGACTAGATGGAAGCAGAAAAGCTACAGCTTGTCCTGCGACAGAAGAAGCAGACCAGAATCAAACTTCTTAAAAGATAAAAAGTTTTATTAAACAAACCTGGAATCAACAGTCTTATTACATAAATTAGACAGCAGTAAAATTTTCCTAGAGTATATATACAAGTCACAGTGATTTTCTTTGTGCAAGGAATTGACAGGATTAGAAACAGGCTTTTTTTCATTTTCCACGTGAGAAGCTGGGATCACCCCGCAGGGACCCGTCGCAGGGGCGCATCACACCTGCAAAGGCACTCCATCTCGTGTCTGCGCCTCTGACAGCAGTCACGGGCCTTAGAAGTGCGCGGGCAACCCGGCCAGGGCGCCCACTGCATGGTGCAAAAAGGAAGGAAGCTACGACCGCTCTGCAGAGCTGAAAGACAGTCTCCTGAGGACAAGGAAAGACTGTGTGTCCAACGGCTTCAGATCCCTTCTGAATGACTTTTACTTAAATAATAGAGGCGTCCACCACGGACGATCAAACAGAAGCTCAAGAGAATGTCTTAAAACACAATAATTTATAGGAAACCGTTACAGAGTATTACTCTTTTATTAAGCAAGACTGTTCCCTCGGACGCAAGCCCACAGGATCTGCAAAGCAAACTTGACATGAAGACGTTATGCTTGGCGAAAACACCCCACACGCGCTCCACCTCCACTAAGACACACACGCATGCACACACATACCCCGAACAAACTACCTAAATACATTATTAACACAACTGTTCATGTGCTTTTCTTCTTGTTTTTGGTAAGTGGACATCATCCACTCAAGCTGAACTAATTAATCAGAAACGGACACATGGTACAATACACAGAACTTGCTCAATGCGTGTAAAATACACGCTAGATAGATGGACCACCGAGAAAAGAACAACCCAGCGTCTCTACAGATCTCTACAATTGGAGCAATCAAGGGCTTCTCTGATGGCGTTAATCTGGGGATGCAAAACCAACTGGATGGAAAAAAAAAAAAATCCAACCAAGTTCTTTTGCTGCACTAGTAGCTGGAGTGAGGATTTTGATGTCTTAATGGAATTTGATGTAGCCTGAAGCGCTCACCTGGGTCGGCAACCCTCGGTGCCCACAGAGTGGTGCATGGGGGTCTGTAGTTAACAGCGTTGAGCCATATTTTCACAGTTAAAGTGGTCCAAGATCTAGAGGCAACTTAGGTCAACATAGCAATGGCAAATGCATTCCACATCACTCAACTGTTTAGCGCTACTGGTGATTCAGTCATCGGTAACAAGTTAGACATTAAGCATAGATGTACAGCATGAAACAACACGTACTAGACACTGATAAACATGCTCCATGGGCATGGGTGGGAAGTGGAGTTTTAAAGCATCGTGATGGCGTGAAGTGGGCACTCGTTAACTTGTTGCTGGGGCTCCTTGCGCATTCTGTCGTGTCGACAGCAGAAGTCACGATTTGCCCATTGTTGCAACAGATACGTTTACACTGAGCAAGATTTTGACTTCTATTGTGGAGGTACTAGAAGTCGGCCAATGCAAACATATGATGTGCTATATGACCAGGGTGATTTTATTTCCTTCTTAGCTCTATGGAGGCATATCAAAGCAGGCTGTGACATTCCCCTAGGAAAACATGACCCACCTCAATATACTTCTTCTATGCAAAATATGTATTTCCTAAAGATTTTTTAAACAGTGTTCTTATTTAAGAAAACACTGCCAACTCACAAAATTGCGTAAAACCAAATAAATCTATGATTTTTTGGATCTGAATTTTGTGATTATTTCCATGAATTTTCTTCAAAACTTTGCACATTGATTATATTTGATCAGATACATGAAAATTTCAGAATGCCCCCACTGAGTAAACTGTTTTTCAGTTATATGTATGAGTGTTTCGTGTGTTTAGGACTCATTTTGACTAAACCAGTCTTTGCATTATGTCACACCATTTAATTTACAGCCCAGCAACAGGCAGTTAACACGTGGCATGTGCCACTGTGGATACTGAAATGGGCATGACTGTCGAAGGTGAATTTAACACCAACAGGTATTCTTGCAATTCTTTTTAATTTTTAATTTGTTTTGTATGGCTGATGGCTGATGACAATGTTTTTAAGGATTACATTAATATAATAATGCATTCAAACGTTTGTTTTTCCTGCATATTTGTTCAAAATTAAGGCAATGCATGTCATGCTTTCTTGATGCTATTTTCATCTCATATTAAATTATGGACAGTAAGAATTAAACCTAAAAATATACATATGGCTCAATGTGTCTATGCATAATTTTTTATTGTGTTCAAGAAGGTGTTTCATTTATTTTTTATATTTTTAAGCAGAAGCCTCCAAAATAATAATAAAAATAATAACTTAACTTTATAGTCAGAGGACATGAAACTTGTTTTTTCCTTCTGGGTCCATAGCTCAGTGCACAAAGCCACTTTGCCGACTTAACCTTCTAACATTCAATGATGAAATCATTCAGAAATTGCATGCTAAGTTTTTAGTCAGTTTTGGCTCTCCACTTAATCCAAACAGAACTGAAAAGTACAGACTGAATACAGTTCTGTTGGAACGTTTATCCAGAGCGCCCTTTGAAAATAATTTTTCACGGAGTTACTCATTGTGAAGAATGTAGTTTAACAATCTTGTCCTCACTCTCCCCTACTGAGTTGATTTCTATCTGAAGAACAGGTCATTTACGAGAAGGGAGGGGAAATATTTAGCATCTTCATTTTCACTGTCTTTTAAAGCTTTTTTAGGTGTGCAATTCTCTTCATTTCACCTTCAGTACACACAGCCCTTGCCTTCTGATTTGTGAGCAGAATCTGGCCAAATCTGATAGGCACGGAAAAACAACATCGGAGGCAAAGAACCTGTCAGGTGACTCAAGAAAAGCTGAGCTGCAGAGGCTGAGGGGTACCCAGCCTTCTTTCTTTCTCCCTGCACCGGTTCTCACCAACACACCCCCAGGGCATACTCTGCCCTCATCCCGGCTGCCCAAGGAGGTGGACCTTTCTGGGAAGAGGATGAGAGAAAAGTGAGGGTGCAGAAGGAGGTATTGGAGGTCTGTACGAGTGTATCACTGAAGGCTCTAGAAACCAACTTCTTAAATGCACAGACCTCCATGGGGAGGTCACGGTTGGGACCTATGACCACATACACAACAGATTTGCACAATTCTGTTTTTCGAGCTGAGTCAGGGTCAAGAGAGAATGGGCAGCCCGTTTAGACTGGACAGCAAGGTTTAGAATCAGGAAGGAGAAGCGTAAGAGAGAAGGAAGTGAATTCTGGGCAGTACAGACTCTAAGGATCTCTATGCATGCCCTGTTTCTGCAAAGTCCGCTATTTAGCAACACACCCCTCGTGGCCCACTCTGCATCTGGCTTTCATTAAGTCAGTTCTACAGGGAAGACACTGCAGAGGACTGTACCTTCATGACGAGGTCTAAAGAGCAGAAAATCTCACCCACCAATAATTCTGCAGAGGCCCATCTGATTGATGAGACGAGAGTGTGTTTAGATGGACTCAAACGGAACATTTACAAGGAGAAATGAAACTGAGCAGAAACAAGTGAGGTTAATTTTTACTACTCTGAACGCTTACATCCTAGAGGGCATCTGCTTCTTACTTTTCCCAAAACGAAAGGTGAAAGAAAACCTTTGCATGAAGGTGGTCCGTGCGACTGAGCCAGTATCGAAAAGCATTTGTTAGCTTTGGGAGGTGCGTTTTGTTCAAGAGATTTAAAGTGGAATTTGAATAGGTAGCCACGTCCTTCTCGAGTACAAAATTTTTGAATGTGCTACACAAAATTTCTTGAATGCATTACATTCTTTGAACAACTTTAATGGTCACTGGCTCATCTTGGACTAAAATGCAAATCCACGTCTCCTTCCCTTTCCTTCTGGTTTCACGACCTAAAATGACCAGATATGAAGCACTAAAGATATCGGATGTGGACCCCCACAAGACATTTTCCTCACAAGTAACTATAAAATGCAGATAAGAGGATAAAAAAAATCCACACATCATCTTTTTTAGATTTTGTCCCCAAAAGAACAGATTCTTGAGAAAAGATTTGAAAAATAAAAACCGTAGGCTCTGCAAAGTATGAACATTTACATCACTGTACAATTTCTGTGCCCCAGTCACATCTTTTTACACACGCACCCACATACGCACGCACACACAATCTGTGGTTATAACTGAACACGTTCAGTTCAAACTTATAAAGTTAAGTCTATGAGAAATACCAAGACATCACAGTAGGAACACACACTAGAAGGTCAGATAAAATCTACAACCAAACAATTTTTCATAATTTCCTACTGTGTAGTCGATTTCCAGTTGCTTAAATAATGCAGGGTCCACGAATTTCTCCGATCTCTTTATATACATCCGGGCGTAGATAAATGTGGAAATGTCCTCATCACATCATGAAGATGTCTCTTCAGGTCTCCTTATGTGCAGCTCCTTGTCCCAGGCAGGCTCAAATCTTCCTGTTTCTGGCATGACATAAGACAAAGGATTTTGTTAGTTTTTAAATAAGGGGGTATATTTTGTAATCACCATAACATACAGAAAGCAAACTTCCCTTTGAAATTCTTCTCGCAAAGATCCACAAGGCTGAATTCTAAGTGGGGGAGATGACTAATAAAAACAACTGAACTGTACTTTCAAGGCAGGTTTCAAATGTTATTGATGTCCTCATCCACAGAATTATCCATCCTCATTCACGCGAAGAAGGGAGATTAACTGCAAAGCAAGACTGGATCCCTGTTTCAGTGTGCTTCACTGAAGAACCTACAGCTAGACCCAGTGTTTTATTATGAAGCAGACTAAACAGCAAAGTACAGTGAGTCTTCCCCGCCAGCTGTTGTAACATTCTCCTCCACATGCTGAAAAGCACACATGGGCATTCAAAGATCAACGGTTAAGTCATACAGTTATCCATCTGCTCTGGAGTGCAGTAATGAAGTCGAACTCGTTTCTCATCTATGGGAGAAGATTTTGCTTCATGAAGAAATATCTTCTTGCTTGGAATCGTCATATCTAATCCCTCTTGGCTGAAAACGCCAGACCTTTGTGCCACTTCACGTGACGATTACTGTCAGTGAAATCACTGAGACAGGTTGAAATATTAATGTGTCTGGTTCTTCGAAGATGAGAGCAAAATCCAATCAGTTGAATGAATAGAAAGCAATGGGATCATGAAATGACCTCTTGATTTCCAGGGGTTCATCAATAATAACATCCAACAGCGCCCCCACCATTGGCCAAAGTACATTAAAAATGATTCCACAGCAAAAATCCCATTTACATACACTTTTCCAAGACAATACAGTGCTCTGAGAAAGGTTATTCCTATCTGTGGAATCTCCTTATATGCTAGCTGGTGCAGTTTTTGTGAAAAAAACTATTTATTCACTGAGGATAAGAAAAAATCCATCGGATGGCAGCTGTTTCTTTTAAGTAAATTCCGCACTTTCTATATTAGAAAAAAAGCTCTCTTCTTTTGGCTTATCAAGAAAGGGTTCTTCACTATAAAACAAACCAAGTCTTTTAATTACTTAAAGATTGCTGGACAAAAATAATTCATAAAATGTTATGGGCAAATTCGACAAAATAGAAGCAACTGAGCAGACCAGGAAAAAAAAAGTGAACAGACTCAGGAATATTTTATGATTTTTAAAACCCGCAACTGGAATTCACTAGCATTGAAGAAGCTGGAACAGCTAAAGACACTCTTCATTTTAAGAAAACCAGTCACCATCATAAAAGCGATCATCGTGTTGAAAGATTAAAATACGTCAAGAAGACATGATACTTTCTCATGAATATGGCCATCTATTGCCCTATTATTTTTTTCCTCTATCATTTTAACTTTTCTCCACTGTTCATCTCGGTATTTCCATAGAAACGGCAGCAGAGACTGGAGGTTTCTCATGGGCGATGTGAGTCCCTCCCTCCCAGGTCTCAGCAATGGTGTCCGTTGCCAATGGTGTTGACGAGACAACTATTTTTCCCATACCCATAATTGCCATCGGTGAAATAAAAATGGGAAAAATAAGATATGTCAAGGAGACATCTCATTGGCAATATTTGTGACCAAGCAAGTTAGAATTGGAGAGTTAACTGAAAGACCTTTACTACCCATATTAAAAAAAAAAAAACTAGACCTTCAAAGTCATAGAGTCACAGACTCTATAGTCAGAGTCACAGACCTTTAAAGGTTCAAAAAATAACAGACTCAAAGTCAATTGTTTTAAATCTCAGTTAAGCCTAGCAAATTCCATATGACATGTTCTCCAGTGAGAAAAGGAGACCCAAAAACTTGTTGAAAATACTTGTTAAGTGTTCTGAGGGAGCTGGTCTGGAACTCATGGTTTCTAGAATGCAAGAATTCAGGATTTCTCACCAAAAAAGCTGTCTCTCTCCAATGTTTAGGTGCACATGGATCTCTATTTAGACATACTGGTTCTGTCCCTGTAGATTTGTTTGGGGACTGGGATGCTGGACACGATGCTGAGTAACACACACCTTGAGTAACACACCCTGGGGTGTTTATTATGCCGACACGTGGAAGGACTGTGTTGTGCTCTGCTCCACAGGTTGTGTCCGAACGGTGAGGGAAGCACCACTCAGTCAACACAACATCCCCTTGACGTGGGGTCATGCCAACCTCACCGGTTTTTAATTACTAAAAATAAGCATATACCTTCCGGATGTGGATTCCTGTCCTCAGAAATTTTTGAAGACTTCCAAATCTTTCGGTGACACCGGAGGGGCCGTGTTCCAGTCATTCTCAGGATAAGCTTCGAAGTTGGAGGTATCGCCCTCGCCGCATACTTTGGGCACGATGGGGGGCTACAAGATCGACCAAAACACAAAGGCACAGTTAGAAAGGAACAGTTCACACATGGATAGTACGTACATCCCTCTACCTCTGTGACTTCACATAAAAATTAAAATGAGTTAAAAAAAAAACACAACACAAAGTTGTCTTTTCTTTATAAACATTGAGCTTGGAATTAAGATATTGCAAATGAGGCATCAACCATCGGGAGGAAGAAGGTACTCAGAACTTGCCTCTTAAATTCCAAAATTGAGAACCACATGGATTGCTTGTTACATGCAGATTCCCAGGCCTGCCCCAGTTTGACCAATTATGATGTAGCTGGTCCAGGCTCCAGACTTTGGAAAATTCCAGAAAGATGGAAAGAGAACCAGACTTAGGTTTTAGTATCACCAACGCCAAGCCTCAATCCTGTGTCAATAAAATGAGGCCACTGGGATTGATAGGGCTCAGCAAACATTTCCCGTAAAGGACAAGTTAGTAAGTATTTCTGCGTGACTACTTAACTCTGTCATTGCAGTGGGAAAGCAGCCATAGACAATACGTAAATGAATGGGTGTAGCCGTGTGCCAATAAAACTTTATTTATAAAAACAAGTGAGGGGCCGGATTTGGCCCTTAGGTTGTACTGTGCTGACTCCTGGATAGATTACTGCTCTAGCCACGTCCAACCCAAAGATTCTGGAATGCACACAGATACCAACTAGTTTTCTCTAATCCTATGAAACTGCTAGGTTTTGTTGAGAGCCTTCAACGTGTGTGGTGAACACCATGCTTCTCCCCAGCCCTGCAGGACTGATCACACCCTGGGTGTTTCAACAATAAGAGACTTGAGGCTCAGTGATGCTAGAATCCTCAAGTCAAGTCTAGGACAAGAACCTAGATGAGGCAGCTGGAGAATCCTGATGGAGAACTGGCATGTAAGTGGATTCCAAAGGGAGCATTTTAACTTCTGTGTTGACATGAAATGGGTCAAGTTTAAGTTAGAAATAACCTACGTTAAAAAAAAGAGAACCCTGCTTGTCACTACCGCATGATAGGATTAATCAACAATTACAGTGTGTGCACCAAAGTGCAAACAGCATCGAGAGGTCAGGAGGAACCTTGAGTCTCAGAGTCTCAGAAACATAAAAGAACTTCAGGCAAAGGGTGTCGAGTTCTGAGTCGACCCAGAAATATCACACCATGAAGCCGACGTAGTGAAGTGTGTGCTTTATACACATTCAAGACAATTTCTGTCACAAAATGGTCCAACCCACGTGTGAACATATCTTACGTTGGTTCCATAAAAGATTTACAAAGATTTTAAATAGTCACAGAGTAACTTTAATGCTGTCATTTCCTTCTTTCTTTATGCTTCCATCCAATAAATGACCTACATCTATAAACTAGGAACTATGAGTGAAGAGAATGGGCAAGATTCTGGCCTTCAGGAAATTTCCAGCTCAATCGATGGCTCTAGTGCAGTATCTCCATCTTGGCTACATGTTGAGATCACCTGGTGAACTTTGAAAAAGTTACAACAATGAAACTACACAGAGCCACCTCTTTTCAACCATCACTTTGCCAAAAACGCAGAAGTTGTACAGCTCACTGCCCTCGAGGCTGTGGGGAAAGAGGCACAAAACTCTCGAAATTCTCAAAATTTGAATTCTCAAAATTCAAATTTTCATCCTCAAAATATTTCCCCTGCAATTGCAAAAGGATGCCATTTCTAGGGAGGAATATTTTGCAAAATTACCGAAATTTCAAACGCATCTATTTTGACCCAATGATCTCATTTCTGGAAACTCATGTTCACACAAATGGAATGTATGAGATTATTCTTTGTGGCAGAAGATTGGAAACAACCAAGTGTCCATCAGATGAGGTCTGGTTAAATGAACTATGGTAGAGACACATGAAGGAGTATCATGTAGTTTACAAAGAGTGAGAAAGCTATTCAGGTTTGTGGAAAGATCTCCAGGTTACATTGTGAAATGAAAAAGGCAAGACTGGAATGCTGCATGTATGACTCTAGGTTTTGGGTAACAAAGAAGAGAAAAGAAGAATATGTCTATCCATATGGGTTTATACCAGCCTAAAGAAACTCTGGAAGGATACACAGAAAAATCTAATAAAAGTGGGTACCTATAGGTGGCTGGGAGGGGACAGAGCAAAAGAGAATGAGACTTGGCAATGCATAACTTTTAATATGGATTTGGTTTTTGAACAATGTGAATACATTCCCTACTCAATTTTTTAAATAAGTCAATTTAATACAATGAAATACTTAAACGTTAAAAGCATTGACATTGGTGGTCTGGGCTGACTCCTATAGTCTGGGCTAGAGCCTGGGTATCAGCATTTTTAAAGTCTCTCCATCAACTTTAAAGTGTGCAGGTGAGAACACAGCTATTGAGGACTCCTGTCAAAAACACATTCAGTTCAAAGAAAGAGGAGCCACAGAATATTCTCCCTCTAATGTACCACCATCACTGCGTAATATGTGTAAGTGCTAGACACATACTCTACCTGTGTTATTTCACATATTGTCCCCCATTAGAAAGCGGGCGGGTGAGACTCATCATGGTCACAGAGCTACTGGGGGATGGAGCCAGGTCTCAAAAAGTCTGATTGCAAAAGCTGGGGTCTTACCCCACGTGTAGGTTCCTCTTTAGCACTAAGATATCCATTGAATAGGGACTTTGGCTTATTAACAATTTGAGATGACTGGCTGTATTGTACAAATTAATTATGTATCGACCATAAACCAAGGAATGAGTCACAGCGTCAGAGTCTGCCTCAGTGAATGAGAGCTCAAGGATGCCGGGTTAGCTAAGAGTTGCCCATCTGCATGTGCTGTACCTTCAGTTTCCTTTGGGGGACAACCTCCCAGTCCACAGATCGGAACCACCGATGTCGTTTCACGTCGTCTGCTCCATTCTTCAAAAGAAAGATGCATCATCAGTGCACAGAATTTTGACAGGACAGGAGAGAAAGTATTCTGAAGAATCTCTACATTTTTTAGTATAGAAACAAACAAAAGTTTGCTGTGTTTTGAGTAATTGTCCGTGGAGTGTGAGCTATTAGGAAAAACTGTAAATGAGGTTGTTTGTGTTTTGGTTGCCTTCCTTTATCGTAGAAACAAATCCAGTCATTACGCTCATGCACATACTACTCTGGACCCGAAACCAAAGTATAAGTACAGTTCAGACCCTAAACATGGAATCAGACAGATACATAGTAATTCCTGAGTTTGTCATTTGTTTTCATCTTGACAATTTCCTTTGATATTTATTACCCTCACCTTATAGACATAGAAACTGAGGCTCACTGAATGATGTAATTTGCTCAGTGTTGTCCAGCAAACAGGTCACATGACTAGGACTCAAACTAAGGAAGCCCAACTTCAGAGATCTTAACAACCACCCAACATGACGTGCCAATTCACAATGTGTACTAAGGTCTGTCTACTTTGATCTCAAGTACGGTGCCAATGGCCAGTGGGCAGAGATCACTGCCATCAGGACCTCTGAAAAACCCCCCCAAGTTTTTGGCCTTCAACTGCATACTTCTGCCTTTTTATGGCACATGTAACTTTTTTTTTTTTTTTTTTTGGTGAAGAAGATTGGCCCTCAGCTAAAATCTGTTGTCAATCCTCCTCTTTTTGCCAAGAAAGACCGGTCCCTGAGCTAACATCTGTACTCATCTTCCTCTATTTTGTATATGCGATGCCGCCACAACATGGCTTGATGAGCGGTGTGTAGGTCTGCGCTGGGATCTGAAGCTGCGTACCCCGGGCCACTGAAGCGGAGCACGCTAACTTAACCACTGCGCCACTGGGCCAGTCTCTGTAGCAAGTTTTTTAAATCAATTACATGTGGGCAGGTAGAAGATAGAAACGTGTGACCTCTGTGATACAGGACCCAGTGCATCAGAATTTAACATTAAGTTTTTATAATGTGTATCAGTTCATATTTTTTAAAGTTTTTAAAGTTTTTATCCTCGACAAAGAAAATTATCAGTTACCATATCCATGAGAGGAAAGAAACAGTGAGGTCAGTTTTTTCTACTTTTTCCCAATCCTATTATTTTGACAACTCTTTTTCTTTTCTTATTGGAAAAAAATATTTTTCATCCACATCTAAGTTGAACAACAAATATCTGTTGATCATTACTCTGAGGGATGCTGAGAGAAGGCAAATAAGACTTGAAGTTTACTATGAAATAGATCAAATTCTAGTATGGATACTAAGGTATTATGATATCTAAATATCTAGATGTCTAGATAGGATGCATAGATGGATGGATGGATGGATAGATGGATAGATAGAGAGATGACAGATAAATGGATAGACAGATGATAGATAGATAGGTGATAGATGGATAGACAGATGATAGATAGATACACAGATGAAAACACAGAGAGATGATAGATAGATGATAGATGGATAGGTAGATAGACAGTTGATAGATAGATGGATAGATAGATGATAGATGGACAGAAAGATGATAGATATATAGATAGATAGATGATAGGTAGATAGATAGATAGAGAGATGATAGGTAGGCAGATAGAAGATAGGTAGGTAGGTAGGTAGGTAGGTAGATAGATAGATTCAACAAATATGAGAGGAAACGAAAGAGAAAGTAAGTGGTAGAAATTTTCCAAGCATGGAAGACAGAGCAGTGTCCATGAGGATGAAAGAGTTAAACACAATGGGTATGCTTCAGAAGAAAAAGGAGAAAGACTCCAAATGAACAAGCACCGAGAGGAGAAAAACAGCAAGCTGTGCTAGTAAAAGGCATATGGAGGGGGTGGTTAACCCATCACAGATGGTGTTGAGAGTTGATCATGAATCCAGTGAATCGTAAGGTGAGAAATGCAGGCTGGAGAGGAATCTGGAGGCTGCTGAATGCCAACTTAGGGCTCTTGGGCTCTCCACTACCAACAACAGACCCTTTTTCATAGAGAAGTGAGAGAACTGACGGCAAAAGCCAATGATGGGGGTGTTTGCAAAGAGGAAGCTGCAACCACCACCCAGGATGCAGGGACACACCCTGACCACGGATGGCGACACAGCACAGAAGGGAGAGACGGTCAGCCTTGGCAAAAGAACAGATGTCCACGTAGGCTGTACCTGCCGCCCACTGCTTACTACTCGGGAACATATTTTCATTTTAATTAGGCAGTTCCTTTAGCCTCTTTCAGCCAATGTCCACATCAGGAAGCCCTACCCACACCCTAAGTCCTAGCTTGTATGTTTGTGAGTGTTTTTTCCAGATTCCCTTGATTGGAAAAGCTTGTTCTTCCCCACCCAGGATGCCTAGAGCAGTCACTGAGCTACTCCCAGCCAATTCTACATGTGGGTCATCTGCATTGTCCCTGAAGGCCTGGCAAGGAACACTGCTCACTGCTACATGTTTGTGACATTAAAACCGGACTTGTCCACTTACACGAAGAGCTGTGGTGAGGACAATTCCAGACCATGCCCCAGGATGGACAGGCTCAGATGAAACCCTGTGGGCACCCAATGCCCTATTTCTACGCATCCTTCTCCACAAATCCCAACTTCTCTAAGTGGACCAGCTCATCTCCCCAGGGGTAAAGGTATCCAAAGAAGAGTAGAGGGCTGCCCTCTGGGAGCAGGTTACGTGAGCCAGCCTTCTCCACGTCTGTTTGGTTGTGTGTGATAAATGAATCATTCAACACTGGAATGGTCAACAGAGCTTCATTTTTATAGGATCTTCCATTGGAAGCCAACACATAAAAGTGGATAGGTAAAGTATTAAGCCTAAAACTAACAGTGGGCTCAAAAAGAGTTTTTGGCACACAGAACATCCTGTAGTTAAGTTTTCTGCAAAATGTCCACATGAAAGAATTAATTATTTTCTTTGTTCCTTATATGAAATAAACACAAATATCGAATCATTATGTTGTACATGTCCCCTAATATCATGTTATATGTCAATTATCCTCGATAAAAAAAAAGGATGACAGTGTTCTCCTTGAAAAAAACAAACAAAAAAGGCAATACTGAAAGAAAATGCAAGTAACAAATCAAGAGTGATGACATAAAATTGTAGCAGCTGAGAGAAGCAGAGAAAACACAATTCATCTCTATGGGTTTTGGGTTCTTTATTTGAGTAGGTGTGGTGAGGGTGTCTTTCCAAAATCCCATAATCCCAGTGTAATCGTGAGACAAACATTCGACAAATCTCAATCGAGTGGAATTCTACAAAATAAGCGACCAGTCCTCAAACTATCAAGGGCTTCAGAAACATGGAAACTCTGAAAAAATGGCGAAGACGAACCTAACGAGACCTAAAGGATGATTAAATGCAACATGGGGCATGGGATGGGATCCTTGGACAGAAAAAAAAGAGATTAGAGAAAGTTTAAGGACAAAGAAATAAAGGATGAACTTGAGTTAATAATGATGTGTCCATACTGGTTCATGAACAGTGCCAGAGGTCCCACACTAAAGACGTTCATCATAAGGGAAACTGGTGTGAGCATATGACAGCTCTCTGTACTATCTTCTCAATTTTTCTCCACATCTAAAACTCTTCTGAAAAATAAAGCCTATTAAAAAACTAAGGACAAAAGAACCAGAAAATAAGTGACAAAACAGCAACATTAAGCCCTCATATATCAATAATTACCCTAAATGTAAATGGATTGAACTCTCCAGTCAAAAGATACAGAATGGCAGGATGGAATAAAAAGTAAGACCCAACAATATGCTGCCTCCAGGAAACACATCTCAGCATTAAAGACAAGCACAGGCTCAGAGTGAAAGG